GCCACTGCACTCCAGTCTGGGCAACAGAGTGAGACTCCAACTCAAAAAAAATTAAAAAATCAAAAAATTAGCCAGGCATGGTGGTTCGTACCTGTAGTCCCAGCTACTCAGGAGGCTGAGGTGAGAAGATCACCTGAACCCAGGAAGTCGGGGCTGCAGTGAGCTATGATCATGCCTCTGTACTCCAGCCTGGGCAACAGATCAAGATCCTATCTCTAAAAAGAAAAAGAACCTCACTCATAAGGGACTGGCAGTAGCGTGAAACTGCCAGGGGAGGGAGGGCACACCTCATCAACAAGGGTACCTGCATAATGAACATTTGTACACCTAACCCTGAAGTGCACCCCACACTTTTAAAATAAATAACAATCAAAATTTTAAAAAGAAAGGGAAAGGAAAAAAGCAGACACATTACCTGAATCTAAACATTTTAACAGTAAACAGACTCATGATGCATCTAAAACAAGTCAATTATTGAGAAATGCCATCTTTGTTTCATAAGATACAGAAATGGCATGCTCATATTAATTAACACACATATATATTTTTACAAAGCTCTTGTAGCATAAGTCCCATTCAGTGGCCTAGAAGTCGGCACTCGGTGGGTGACACTGGAATTTGTTCATGTTCTCTTCCTTAGCCCAGAAGGTCTTAGGGAACCAACTTTCTGGAACTCACCATGGTCATCGTGACCACTGCTGGAGCAAAGCATTCCAGTTCTTCATCCTGTGGAGCGGGGAGGACCTGTCTTTTCCCTCCCACTTCAGTGAGGTCTGGGAGCTTGGTCACGGCATGCCCAAGTGTCTAAACCATTGTCCACACTCCCGAGCGCTGGACAGTCAGGGCTGATGTCCAGCTCAGTTAGTCCCTTGAGGAAGCCCAGTCTGTCTCCGAAAGTCTTTCCCGTGCCCTGCGACCAGCTGAAGGCCAGCTCCCTCTTCCCATAGCTGTCCAGCATCGCAGGTCTCCTTCCAGCTTCCCCTAGCACTGAACGTGCCCGAATCTTTCCATCACAGGGCCTGGCTCTCAGACCAAGGGAAGACGCTCCCCCTCATCATTCCACACGCCAGCAGTTTGGGCCCACAGTATTGAAGAGCCAGGCCACGTGGCACACACCACTCTGTCTCCAGGGTCCACGTCAATGTGCGTTGTTTTTTCTGTCTTCCTTACAATGCTCTCGAGACCTCACTTAAGTGTCAAAGACGGTGTGAAAGTTTTTTTCTCTCTAAAAAAATCCCTCGTTTTGTTAGGGACTCGGTGTAGTGGCTGACACCTGTAATCCCAGCACTTTGAGAGGCCAAGGCAGGAGGACTGCTTGAGCCCAAGAGTTTGAGACTAGCCTGGGCAACATAGCTAGATCACATCTGCACAAAAAATTAGCTGGGCCTGGTGGTGTATGCCTGTAGTGCCAGCTGCTCACTTGGAAGGCTGAGGTGGGAGGATTGCCTGAGCCCAGGAGGTCGAGGCTGCGGTGAGCCATGATGATGCCACTGCACTCCACCTTGGGCAGCAGAGTGAGACCCCCAACTAAAAAAACAATGCTGTGTTACGGAAATTTTCAAACACACAAAAAGTAGAGTGGCTAGGAGACAGTGGACCCCAGGGACTCCTCATTCAGCTTCAACAGTCATCTTCATTACCCTAGTCCTGCCATCAACAAGGAACAAGAGTTTTTTGTTTGGTTTTGTTTCAGTATTTTAAAGCAAATCTCACACATCATTTTATCTGTCTGTGCTTTTTGAATTTTTCAACATGTGAGAACACTATTTTATTATATTTTGCAATTTTAGATTCATTATATTTTTATTTTTGAGTTGGAGTCTCACTGTCGCCCAGACTGGAGTGCAGTGGCTACTCCCGGCCACCACAGCCTCAACCTGCTGGGCTCCAGCAATCCTTCCGCCTCAGCCTTCTGAGTAGCCGGAATTACCGGCATGCACTACCACGCCCGGCTGATTTTTTGATTTATTGTAGAGATGAGGTCTCGCCTGCCCAGGCGGGTCTCGAACCCCCGTACTCAGGCAATCCACTCACCTCTGCCTCCCAAAGGCGCGGGATGACAGGCTGAGCCACCGAGCCCGGCTCATTATATTTTTAAAAATCTGGCAAGTGGAAACCGTGGGCCATGGAAATACTCCTTTTGTAGTTTACCATGTGAAAAAATAAATACCACTATTTATAAATAAATGAATATAAACTAGTGATTAACAAATCCTTAAAGAACGTTTCTATTAATAATACAGCAATATAAAAGTGGCAGTGGCCGATACCACCTATTGTAATACTTGTTATGGATCTAAAATTGGAAGAAGGAAAAGATATCCCTCGAAAAATACAAATGTATAGATTTGACCTGAGGAAAAAACTGGCAGTAAAAATTAAGAAAAAAATGTGTAATGACTAAAGTTCTGGCTAATAAAACTTGATGAAGACCAAAAAAAAAACCAAACCACACACACACACAAACACTAATTGAAGAAACAGATTAATTATAAACATTAAATAAAATAACTTTAATATATTTAATGATGTCCAGTTCAGAAAAATAAGTAAACTAATAAGTGAAAAATAAGTAAATAGAACCAAAAGCTGATTTTTGAGAAGACTGAGAGCAGCCTGTTTTCATAGTCAGAATTTTAAATGGCTTGAGATTCCTGCCCCGTTCCCCAATGACGACAATAGCTTTTACCCCCATGATTAGCTTGAAGAAAGGGAGCGCATCCATGTGGGGTTAACCTAATCATTACGAGCCCTGTAAACGCAGAGGGTTTCCTCCTGCAGGTGACAGAGGAAGAAGAAGGTCACAGGAGCAGTCAGAGAGGTTGGAAGTGTGAGAAACTCTGGCACACCACTGCAGGCTTGAGACTGTGGGGTCATGTATCAAGGAATGTGGGCAGCCCCAGCAGAGAGCTAGGAAGAAAGCGGGATCATCAGCCTTAGAGCTGTAAGGCCCTGGGCTCTGCCAGCAAGAAAGAGCTTGTAGGTGGATTTATCTCCAGAACCTTCAGATGAGAATGCAACCCGGCTGACACCTTGATTTTAGCCTTGTGATACCTGAACGGAAAGCCAGATGTGCTGTTCCAGGCTTCTGACCCACAGGGTAAGGAGCACATACATGGATATTGCTTTAACCCACAATTAGCTCGCTACATACAGTGGAAAACTCTGGTCAACTAGCCAAGAGTAAAAAGATAGAAACACAAATTATCAATATCAGGAATGAGAGAGGGTGTATCACTAAAGACATTAAAATGATAATAAGGGAGTAACTTTATTTCCCCAAATTTAACAACCTAGGTGAAATGGGCCTATTCCATGAAAGACCCAAACTATCAAAACTTTCTTAAGGAGAAATAGATAGCCTGAGTAGTCCTATCTCTATTTTAAAAATTGAATTTGTAATTTTAAGTGTCCCACAAAGAAAACTCCAAGTTTAGAT